CCCAGCCTCTTCCCCAGCTTGGGGAGCATCCCAACCCCCTGCCCACATGCCCCAGTCCTCTTCCCCCTCCCCAAAGGCCTCCCAGCGTGGCAGGGCACCGGGTTCCCATCCCTCCTTGCACAAGGCACTAGCCCCTCTCGGCTCAAGGGCTCCCTGCAGGGAAGCTGCATTAACCACCCCTCGCTGCAGAGCAGCCCCACTACGGGTGACATGGAAAGCCCCAACAGAAGTGCTGGAGCAGCTGCCCCCCTCCACAGCAGTAGCAGCACTTGTCAGGCTTTCCTCCTCTGCCTTCCCGGTGGCACCAACACGGACCGGTGCAGGCACAGGGCACCACCACACCACTGGCTCCAGAACCCTGCGGACAGGGCAACCACTGCGAGCAGCAGCTGGAACCCCCCCAGCAAGGCAGCGGGGGTTGGGGACAGGACTCCTTAGCAAGACATTTAAGTTACTGGGTTGTAGGGAACAGGGGCGGTAGAGCAGGAAGGACAGGGAGTGTCTCACAGGGCGCTTGGTTTCTGCCCCACGGCAGAAAGAATCACAGGGCAAACGCTCCTGGAGTCAGAGCACGGGGCACATGCAAGACCCCCACCCTGGCACAGATGACCCCCTGTCTCCAGGGACCCCCCCCCAGAAGGGCCTGAAGCGCTGCAAGAAGGAAAAGCTCCCTTGCCGCAATCAGTCCTTCTCCCCAGGGCAGCGCCGAGCGGCCGGTCCTTGTGCAGACCCTGAGATCATCCCATTGCAGCAGCAAGAGACCTTCCCCCTTCACAGTCCCGCCAGCATCCCACCGCTCAGATCTTTGAGGACTCCACCCGCTCGATCCACGGCGAGTCGGCCCCGACGTCCCTGGGCTCTGACCGCAGCTGCCGCAGCTCCCGCTCCAGCGCCTGGCTCCGGTGGTACATCTCCATGTAGCTGGCCTGGAGCTCCCGCTGATACCGCAGCACCTTCTCCTTCTCCTCCTGCCAGGTTTTCCTCTCCAACTCAAAGTTCACAGCCTGCAGCTGGCCCTGGCGCCGCTCCCGCAGCAGCTCTGCCCACAGCCACTCCACCTGCCGCTCCAGTGGCTCCGCCGTGTCGTTGTGAAGGCCCCGGCACTTGGAGTCATCAGTTTCGCAGCCGGGGAAGTCCTGGCACGCCGGCATGGGGTCGTCGCCCAGCGGCAGCGAGGCGCCGGGCTCCGGGGGGCTCTGGAAGGAGTCTGCCAGTTGCGCCAGCTGGGAGTCCCTGGCCTGCACCTCCGCCTTGGCCTCCCGCAGCTGCGTCTTCAGGCTGAAGATCTCGCCCAGCTTCTGAGCCATCTCCTCCTGGGTGTCCCGGAGCTGCTGCTTCAGCAGGGAGATCTCCGCTGCCTTCTGGCACACCTGCAGGGCACGGGCGAGCGGTGAGGAAGGGTTGGAGGAGCAGGACCCCAGGGGTGGTGGCACCCCAGGCTGTCACCACAGCATCCCTGGGAGACCACGAGCATCACACCTGGCTCGTCCCCACCTGTCCTGTGGCCATGAGTGACACCAGAGCAGGGAACTGCTGCCCCCATCCTGGCTCCACGGCCAGGAGGGTGGCAACAGGCAGGGAAGGAAGGGGGTCTCACCTCACACTTGGTCTCCTCCAGCTTGGGGCTGACGCGCTCGCCCTGGGGCTGCCGGAGCTTGGGCTCCTCGCACTGGCACTGCTGCATGCTCAGCTCCTCCTGCAGCCGCTTCTCCTTGTAGAGCTGCAGCTGCAGCGCCCGCTGCCCGCGCTGCGCCTGCTGCGTCACCTGCTGCAGCCGAGCCATGTACATCTGCTTCAGATCCTCCAGCTCATCCAGCCACAGCCGCTGCTTGTCCTCGAACACCTGCCAGCACAGGTGGACGCTGCTGAGGGTCCGTAGCCTGCCCCTGCGCGGGGCAGCCCCAGGGAGGGATCCCAGAAGGTCCCGTGATGTTGGCTCCTCCCATGCTTGGACATTCCCAGCCCATCGCCCACCATGGCAGGACACCAGCTCCTTCACCACTCCTTCCACACAGGCCCCGCTGCCCCCCACCCCTGCCCGGGGCACCCAACACAGCCCCAGCCCCACGGCTCACCTGCGTGAAGGGGTCTTCGGTCTCGCTAAGGCTCCTCTTGAGCTGCCGCAGCTCTCCTCCCGTCTCCTGCAGCCGCTCCTCCAGCTGCTTCACCGCATCCTCCAGCGAGTAGGTGAACTCGTAGGGCGGCGGGGGCTCCCCAGGGCTCTGCAGCCGGCTCAGCGTGGCCATGCTTTTGCAGGACAGAGGTGCCTTCTCGGGGGCCAGGGGGTCCCTGGGGCTCCGGGAAACCCTGTCCAAGGAGCCCCCGATGTGGTTGATGTGGCCCATGGAGGCGCTGAACTGGCTCTGGGCAGGCTGGAGGCAGGAGCTGTAGGAGGGGAAGCTCTGGATGGAGTTGTGGCTGGAGTCGGAGGCCTCATCCAGGCTGATGGCGTGGAGCAGGTGGGTGCGGAGCGGGCCATGCTGCGAGGCCGCCGTGCTGCTCTGCGACAGCAGCGTGTGCAGGCTCCCGTTGCTCTTGGACAGCTTCTGCCCCTTGGACGAGGACAGGCCCTGCATGGAGACCAGCCCCTTCCCGGCCACCGCCTTGAAGGCCGAGGGCCTGATACGGCACTGAAAAACAAGAGCGGGGTCAGGATGAGCCCAACAGCCCCCACCAGCACACACAGCCACCCGGAGCCAGGGAGAACCTGCTCGCTCCCAGCCCCATATCCCTGGACGTCCTCAAAACCCCATATCCCATCTCTGGCACAGACCGTTCTGCTCCAGCCCCATCCTCACACAGATGTATTTTGGGGAGCAGCATGGCACCCGCAGCCGCAGCCTCACCTTGTCGAAGCGGCCCCTCTCGGGCAGGGAGCTCTTGGAGAAGTCGGCCCCGCGGTGATGCTCACGGGAGCAGCGCTCGGGGGACCGGTTCTCGCGGTCACTTTCATAGTCCCGCTTGTAGCAGGCGCCCGACGTCTGGTGCTTCCGCTCCGACCGCATCTCCTTCTTGGCCACGCGCA